GCCAAACTACATGTCCAGGAAGAGTTGAATTACATGCAAGCATTTTTAAATAAACAATTCCTCCTCAGTTTTCCATGATTATTTTATATAATCAAGTGTCTTCCGGATTTGGGTCCCAGACCAGTGGTTATCAAGCTCTGCTTTGTTGTCTAATTTTATCAGAATTATCCAAAATTCTTATCATGAATACATATAAATTGGCACACCTTCAGATTTATAAAATCGAAATTTCCAGAACCTAGGACTATGCATTGAAAAAATGTATTCCTCAGGTGGTGCTGACTTGATATTGGATCGGGGTTTAGAATGCAGGAAAAATCACCTTCCTTGCCCTCTAGCTGACACTTATATCCAGAGTTCCCCTTCCCCTTTCACATTCTGCTGTCTCTCCTCTGCACCTTCATCTTCTCCTCCCTCCACTTCTCACCCATGTCCCAAGCCCTCCGCCATCAATCCTCCTAAAATTCCAAATGGCCATTTGCCACTAAAGTTCCCTGTGTCCCATGAACAAGTTATGTGGGCAAATGGAGAATTTAAGTTTCGACCGAGCTGAATCAAGAGCTGCAATTCAATATTTCCCTCAACCCAGAGCCACCAGCAAATAGTTATAGAAGATCAGAAATTTCCTGTAGGTGCAAAGGGCACAGGGTGACCTGATGCTATAGATCAAATCTTATTGTCCCCTCAAATTCTTGTGTTAAAATCTAATTCTCTATGTGATGGGACTTGAAAATGAGGCCTTAGAAGGTGATTAGGTCATGAAAGCAGAGCCCCCATGAATGGGATCAGTGTCCCTATCAAAGGGACTGCTGGGAGTTCCCTGATTCCTTCTGTCATGTGAGGACACAGTAAACAGATGGCAGTCTACGAACCAGGAGCAAGCCCTCACCAGACATGGTATCTGCTGACCACGTGACCTTGGATTTTACCATCTCCAGAACCATGAGAAATAAATTTGTTTCTCTGTGACCTAGTCTATGACATTGTTTTGACACGCAGATTAGCTAAAGTACCAACATACCGACTTGTACACGTAATTTTTGGAAACCCTGTGATGCCAAATCTTTGATGGCAAAAGGCAATTGATCTGCAGAAGGAATGAACCAAAATGATCCCTCTTTCCACAATAAACCAGAGAGCAAAAAAAACCAAAAGTAGGTCAAGGTCTTCTAAAAACCGTACCTGAAAGGTTTCCAATAACAGTTGATTAGGTGGTAATTTCATCGTACAAACAACCACAACAAAGAGATATGACTACCAGAGATTTTCAGGATAGCCTCAAAAACACCATCTGACATTAGGGACCCCTCCTCCCAGGCTTCTTTTCCTGCTCTCCAGCGCCTGTTGCAGGCAGCAAACAACCCCAGCAGCAGCAGGTCCTTCAGCTGCAGGGCTGCAGCTCAGCCAAATGACAGAAGCCTCTCTCCATTGAAGCAGAGGAGCCCAGGCCACACACCCTGGTCTTGGCCTCCATGTCTCCCACTGTGTCCAGGACACAGGGCAGCAGGGGAGCTGCTGGCTGGGGCCAGGATGGCCACCCCCTCTCTCCCACCTCTTGCTCCAGTCGTGCTTTCAGCTCCAGGGCTGAGGCCAGTGGCTAGAGCAGGTGCCACAATGCCAGGCAGCTCCTTAGGACAGGGGCAGGAGCTGCCTCTAGCTCCAGTATTGTCCCTGAAGGGGGCTCTTCCCCTGGTGCTGGCACGGCATCATCAGCGCCCTGGAAGGTCCTGCATTGCTGCACATGGAGATGAGCTGGAAAAGAAGAAAGATTCACCAATGACAGTCATTTTCCTGGAATTTCCACACATGGAAACAGCCTCACTGAATTTAAATAATTCCAGCCTAAAAACACTGCACCCAGAAAGTCTCTGAGACTACAGGCCCCTCACCATGTGCCTGTGCTTTGAGGAACTCCAGAGGCTCCAGCTGGACAAGGACAACATGCAGATGTGGCCCAGATGGGACCACTGGTGAGGTGTGGCCTGGTAGGGTCTGCCCTGGGCTGCCCTGGGGTACCTGGGGGTACCTTCGGCCAAACGACTCAAGGCTCCTGGCATAAGGGATGAGTGTGCATCCCGACCGTGGGAAAAGGCTGTCACTCTGGGCCCTCCTGAAGCAGGAGCCTGGAGATGTGGGAATCCAGGTGCTCTGAGCTCTGAGGGAGATGGACACCGCCCACCTCCACCCTTCACATCCTGTGCAAATAAATTATTCTCTTCACCCCTCCTTCGGCCTATCAATTTTGACACTTAAAAAGCCACCACAGCTCATCCTTGTAAAAAGGAAGGCCATTCACATCACACTTTTCAAATAATAATAATAGCCATGCAAAGTGTTGAAAATTTCTCATAAATTATTGTACTTAGATTACATATGAAAGTGATGATATTTTTGACATGCTAGGTAAATAAAATATGCTATTGAAACTCATTTGCTTCTTCTCTTTGTATTTCTAATGCGGTGACCAGACAGTGGGATTCCCACGAGGCTCACATCATATTGGGACTGAACAGTGCTGGTTCTCCCCCTCCAGGGTACAGGGGCTGTGGAGTGACCTGGTGCAGGAAGCCCCATGTGCACCCACAGGACATCAGTGTGAACCCAGGGAGAGGCGCTGGTGTAAGAGAGATGAGAACACAGCGGTGAACCACTGCTTGTGCAGGGGACTGAGCCTTCACTTTGAGCCAAAGAAGTTTCCTTTCCTCTCTTCAATCCTGAACAAGAGGGCTTTCTGGACTTCTTTTTGTTTTCAGGTTTGTGCCCCTTCAGGTTTGGGGCTGTCTGGAATCCCAGCCAGGGGACACTGAGGAAATCCAGGAGTCTCACACTGACTCTGTTGAAGTTCACCTGCTGGGGCTATCCCAAACTGCTGAGTACGGCGATTTCCTTTCCTGGTGCTCAGAGAGCTGTTCCATGCACTTGCCAGGGTTTCAGAGATGAATCCAGGTGGGAAGACAGGATAGTGTATCTTATAATATTTAAATTAAATCTGAATCTCTTAATATTTATTTTAATATGAAATATGAAAAGAATTTTGTCATAGATAATGGGGAAGGATGAAAAAAGATTAAAAGTATTTTGAGAAAAACAAACAAAAATGCATTTATCAAGTATCTGTGTGTCTTCAGTGTTGCAGGGTTGAAAGAGTTCAGCTGTAGTTTGCCCCGAGGACGTGCTCAGACGGGGGAAATCAAGAAAGCAGGAAACATGCATCTCTGTGACCTGACACCTCAATCACAGCAAAATGGAAATAAATCTTTCAATAAATCAACCATTCACGGTACATATCACTCTGGTGCACACAGAAAGGCCTGTTAGCAAACTCCCTTTGTCCTGCTGCGTCATATCCCCATGGATCACCCGTGTGCAGAGTGGACTCTGTGGTCCCCATTTCTGAGGCTGAGAACTAGAGGCTGGGAAGGCCGAGTCACCTGCTGGTGAGTGGGAAGGGCAGGATTGGGAGCAGCAGATTCCGGCTCAGGGCTGTGGCCCTGTCGCTGCTCCCTGTTCCCTCCACAGGGTCCCCCCCACATTTTCCCGTGTGGATGTGGGTGCATTTCCTGGGGTGGCTGACGTGCTCCAGGGATTCGGTGCTGCAGATGCCTCAGCACAGAGCGTGGGGTGGGGGTGGGGATGGACCAGGCCGCAGCTGGGGAGACCAGAGACCAAGGACACCCAGCAGAGGGTTCCACGGGGTGGCCAGCCCCATTCCTGACAGTAGCAACAGCCTGCAGGTGGGTGCCCAGCAGAGGGCACTGCAGGGTGTGCCCAGGCCTGGGAGTCACAGAGACACAGACACCACACAGCAGAGACACGGAGGGCCAGGAGCTCACTCAGGTGAGGGGCTTCCGCAGATCTTTCTCTCCTGAGAAAATCAGGTACAAAAAAATTAAGTACTTGCCATCAGAATAGACAAACAAAGACTTTCTTCTCTTCAGCTGAGCTGCACTGTCTAGGGAAACAGAAATCTTTGAGCCCAGACCCAGGTGAGGGTGGGGTCAGGCATGGAGCTCAGGACCCAGATTTGCATGGAGGCCCCGCCCTCCTCTGAGGCAGAGGAGATAGGACAGGGCTGGGGGCAGGCCCAGTGCTGGGGTCTCAGGAGGCAGCGCTCTGGGGACTTCTCCACTATGGCCTGGAATCTGCTCCTCCTCGTTCTCCTCAGTCAGGGCACAGGTGACACCTCCAGGGAAGGGACCCCAGGGACCTCTGGGCCGATCCTTGGTCTCTTGCTCCTCAGGCTCACCTGGGCCCAGCACTGACTCACTAGAGTGTGTTTCTTCCTCTTTCCAGGGTCCTGGGCTCAGTCTGCCCTGACTCAGCCTCGCTCAGTGTCCGAGTCTCCTGGACAGTCGGTCACCATCTCCTGCACTGGAACCAGCAGTGATGTTGGGGGTTATAATGCTGTGTGTTGGTACCAGCAGCACCCAGGCACAGCCCCCAAACTCATGATTTGTGATGTCAGTAATCGGCCCTCAGGGGTCCCTAATCGCTTCTCTGGCTCCCAGTCTGGCAACACGGCCTCCCTGACCATCTCTGGGCTCCAGGCTGAGGACAAGGCTGATTATTACTGCAGCTCATACGCAGGCAGTGACACTCTCCACAGTGGTCCAGGTTCATGGGGAACTGAGACCAAAACCTGCCCTGGGCTCTCAGGCTCCCTCCTTGCTCTGAAGATGCTTCCTCAGCTGGTCCAAGGTCTGTCGTTAGATAAGAACGTACTCACTTCATCTACTTGATTGGATCATGGGTTTGCCAAAGACAGCCCGGTGTCACAATCACAGCACATGCATCTGCATTGCTTGCTCTGAGTTTTGGGAGAGCTTTCATATGTCAGGAATAGACTCCTCCTAAGGCAAAGTCTGAGGCAGAGGGAGGGGCAAGTGGGCAAGAAAGTTTGTATTAGAGCTGGAATATCCAGTGCAGACTCCGAGAGAAGGGTGCTCGTATCAGCACTTGACTGAAGCCGAAACAGAAGAGAACAGGGAAGTTCTGAGAATAGCAAATGAATAAATGAATAAACAGTTTACGTTTTAAATGTATTGAATGTTTTTATAATCCATGAAAAGTCTAGAACAGAATTTAACGATGGGATAAGGAAAAGAGCTTGAGATGTTAAACTGTAAGGAGCCCAAGGCAAGTTGCCAGAAAAAGAACAGGACCTTTTTGGTGGAAATATGTATATGCTCCAAATTATCCTTCTGTGTGTGTGTGTGTGTGTGTGTGTCTGTGTGTGTGTGTAAGGAAACATTCCATGGAACATTCTTCTTCCTTATACTCAAGATCACTCTCGACCCACAGGGAACCTAAAGTATATGGCAGGCTGCAGGGACATAACTTAATCACGTTTGTAAAGTGCATCACGCAGAGTCGCGCACACCCCAGCTGCTCCTGAGTTGGCAGCAATTATTCCTGATCACTCGTGAAAACTGGACCTGGATGGAGGGAAAGCAGTGCAGAGGGTTCCAGGGGGTTAGGAAAAGAGAGACTTTAATGACTTAAAAGTAGATCTAGGGGTGCAGGCGAGCATCCCTGGGCGTTCTCCCGCTAACTCTCACCATGTCTCAGAAACGGTTTCAAGGTGAAGTCTACTAGAGAGCTAAGGGAGGAGTTTGCAGAATCCAGGTTTGAAATGTCATGCACGAGGCGGCGAGAGTCAGGGGGTGAGAAGACACAGCTGAGCTCATCTAAGGGTGTTTAAGTTTTTCTGGCCCTAGAGTTTTTGGCCATCCCTATATGACCAGGGCCTCAGATAAGCAGAGAGTTTATCTGCTCCTCTCCTCTGACCATAGTTCATGGTTACCCTGAGCCCAGGTCAGTGCTGCTGTGGCCTTTGCATCCTAAGAGCCCATTTGACTCCTGGTTGTGCTCAATGGACTGACCCAGAGTAAACAGTAGGAGGTTCCCCTGCTCTCTGACCCCAGGGTCTCTTCTTTCAGTGGCACCGGCCCAGCCCTAATGTCCATCCATCTGTTCCTGCCCATCCAGGCCTCCATGCTGCCCACTGGAAATGGCCACAGGTCACAAATTGATTGTAAATCTTGAGCAGATTGTCCTGACCCTGCAAAACGGAACATCTCCTCTCAGCACCAGGATGTCACAAGCAAGGCCAGCTGTGGGAAGGCAAGTGGGAAAGTAACGTGCATCACCGAGTGTAGACAAGACAAAGTCGCTCTGATGTCTCTCAGGATGGTTCAGGTCCCTGCAATTGCAGGCCCACAGAACAGGACTGCAGGCTGGAAGACGGGCTCCCTTTCTCCTGTGCACAAAACAGTGCAGTGTGCAAGGCTGCCCATGTACAGGAGTGTGCCCAGGTGTGTACCCATGTGTGAAAGTGTGCCCAGGGTTGTGCTCATGTGCAGGAGTGTGCACAGGCATGTAAATGTGGGTGCCTGTGTGTGGGAGTGTGTACAGGCGTGCCTGTGAGTGTATGCAGGTGTGCAAATGTGTGTGCCCATGTGTAGGATTGTGCCCAGGTGTGTAAAGGGACCCATCCATGTGTGTAGGAGTGTGCACAGCTGTGTAAATGGGGACACCCATGTGCAGGAGTGTGCCCAGGCATGAGGGAGAATGTGTGACGGTGTGCAAATACGTGTGCCTATGTGTGGGAGTGTGCCCAGGTGTACTCCCCTGTTTGGGAGTGTGTGCAGGTGTGTAAATGGGTGCACCTGTGTGTGTGGGAATGTGCTGTGTATACCTGTGTGTAAGTGTGTGCACATGTGTGTACATGTGCATACTGGTGTGACCAGGGAGTGCTGCCAGTGTCAAATGTCCCAAACTCAAAATTTTTTTATTTTCCTCACTTACTGCCTCCCTCAGACATGCTTCTGGGTTAAACGAGTTCACGTGGGCAAGACCCACAAACAGGCGTAGCATGGGCTGTAGTCAGCGGTGAGTCAGTCTCATCAAATATTGTCATGCTTATATGCAACCTTGTCCAGGGTGGGCCACATGTACGCCCCTGCCTGGTCCTGACAGAACAGCAGAACGGGGACTCAGACACAGCAATGGCCAGGGTCCTGGAAACACAGAGACACCCTTCATCCCTTTGAGCTTCACAGAAAACCGTGGGTATGGGATTCCTGTCATACCTGTAAGATTGTTCAAATAAGCACTGACGATCACTCCCATATGAGATATGAGGAGAAGAATAATTCCATATGAACCAAACACATGAAGCGCACCCTGAAGCCTGCCGAGTTCTCTCCAGTCCAGCGCGACAGAGGGTGCATTTTCATTGGGACTTTTGAGAGTGTGGAGCAGGCCTGAGGAAACCAGGCTCAGCTGTGGGCCCCAAAGACAAAGCTCTGGGATGACTCACCATGGCCTAGACCCTTCGCCTGCTACCCCTCCTCACTCTCTGCACCGACGCTGCCCCCAAGCTAAGCCCCCACAGGACATAAGCCTATTCCTAGTCCATGATGGGGGATGTCAGTGTGTCCGTGGGACACATCCCTGCTGCCTGCCTGGTCCTCATGCCCCCTCCCTCCCCACCTTGGTTAAGTTCTACTCCAAAGGCCCCCGGTTCAGCGTTAGCTGCTGTGAGGGGAGGAGGCTTATACTGAACTGAAGAAGCATTTTTCTTCATTCAAAATTAAAATATAGCAAAGTGATGAATGTTGTATTTATTAATTAAATCCCAATGAGAGGGTGTCATTCAATGGGTTTCAGACATGGAACTTGTCTTTCCTCTGCAAGGATTCCAAGAAAGAGGCTCAAAAAGAGCTTGTTTTCTGCATGGTGGGAACAGCAGCCCCCAGCTGAGAATAAAGAGGAGAGCCTCAGTTTCGCCAGGAAAACAGACGAGGCTCCTGGCAGGAACTCTGAGAAGGGTGGAATGAAATAAGCATAAACTTGAAATTAACGGTGCTGACAATGGTGATGTTAGCTCACAACTAAGCTGCAGTGCAGGAGACATCAGGTGACCGTGGTGAATCATAGCTGCTGTCATTATGTGTGAGGTGTACCCATTTTCTTCCTAAGTGCACAGGAAGTCGGGGTCCCTGGAGGATGGCATGCACATCTCTCTGGACCTTTAAAGCTTTGCAGAAGAGCTCTCTCATTAGTCCTGATGCACAAAACCAGTAGAGGAGGGCATCTCAGCCCGGAGACACTTTTACAGCAGTTGCACCTGCCCCGCCTCCCTGCACTGTGTGTGTGAACTCTCTGTGCTGGGCTGAGCAGGGTGGATTGGGTCACACCGGCACAGAATGGGGCTGGACTCTCTGGTCCTCAACTTCTGAGGTGACAGGAGCTGTGGTGTCACCTGGGCCGAGTCTCCTCCACCAACTGGGGGCAGCAGAGCTGCAGCCAGGAGCAGTCAGGAGCCAGGCTGGGGTTGTCCAGGGGGGCAAAGAGGAAGCCCAGCCTGGGGGTCAGCAGGTGTCCAAGAATCAGTCTTAAAAGTGAAGACAGTTCATCCTATCCCTTCGGGCTGCCGTGGCCACGTTCTGAGGGTCAGGCTCACACAGTGTCACCCCAGGACACTGATGGAAGCCCGCCACAGTGAAGCCTCCTCAGGAAGGGGACACCCTGGGAGACGTCCCGAGGTCAAGGTGCTCTAACAGTGTGAGGGAATGGGCTCCCAGGGCCTGAGTCCTTCACCCAGGATGGCTGCCTGAGCCTCCTGCCACTCTCAGGGCCTTGTTCCTCCCTGTCCAGCAGTGTCCTGGGGAGCTGAGTCCTCTGTCCTGGACACTTCCAGATACACTCGACCGCCGCTCCCTCTGCCTCTCCTTCCAGCTCCAGGCAGACCCTGACTCAGGGGGTGGCTCCGTGCTCAAGGGAATCTCAGCTGGGTGGGGTGAAGATGCATTTGGGGCCTCGGTCCCTGCATGGGGCACCCCCAGCCTCCTCGAGGACATGCTCTCCAGAGGGACGAGGGTTCTCAACTGACTCAGGCCACAGCTCTGACCCCGAAGCTGTCCATGCTCTGTGACACGACAATAACAAGGGACTTGGCTGGAGTAACCAGGGACCACTCACCCTGTGGAGCTCACTTGCTGTGCAAAGACCACGTCCCTGGGACCCTTATAGAGACCATGGGGCCTAAAGTTAGATTCTCAGCCGAGTCTGCTGCTCTTTGCAAGTTTACATAAAACATTGATGAGGAAAACATAAATAGGTGACAGACTAGTTGAGGGGCCAATCGTTAACTTCTTGTGGCAATGGGGGTTGGTACGGAAGGAGCAGCACCACGGATGAAATGAGACCAGAGGCCTGTTGACTCCACATCTGTGTGCTTGCTTAAAGGACCCAACTATTCCTCCTGAAATAATTAGCAAGTGTTCTAGTGACACAGCACAGCATTTAGATGAAATGAAGAAGAGGGGACTGAGTCTGAGAGGGACCAGGAGGAGGAAGATGATGGGTCTCTTGTGCACCTGCTGCTGAGTCAGGTGTCATTATGGCTTCACAGCAGGGCCCAGATCAGCCCCATGGCCAACCTCCTGGAAGGTCCACAGCTCTGCTGAGCCTGGCCCAGGACAGACTTCAGGTCAGCGAGGTTTGGGACAGTAGCATGAGGTCAATTTCCAGGAAGGTGACTGTGATCACAGGGCTTGAAGGCTGGGGCTGATTTTCTAACCCCAGATCCTGCTTCCCCTTTCTCCTGTTGCCTGTGCTGCCCCCACAGCTGGTTTGAGTGACATCTCTCCAGGAGGAGTCCCAGAGGATGTTAATTTGCATAAACACCAAACACTGACCCCAAAAGCCTGAGAGGGAATAAGAGAGGCCTGGGGAGCCCAGCTGTGCTGTGGGCCCGGGAGGAAGAGCTCTGGGTGTCTCACGATGGCCTGGACTTCCCTCCTGCTCCCTCTCCTCACTCTCTGCACAGGTGGTGACCCCAGGCTCAGTCCCCACAGATCCTAAGTTGAGGCTGCCCTGAATCCTGAGCAAAGCGTAGACAGTCTCTGGGTGGGTCTCCTGGGAATGGGTCCTTTGTCTTCAAGCTCCCTATCCTGTTCTTCCTTGCAGGCTCTGATGCGTCCTATGAGCTGACACAGCCACCCTCCGTGTCAGTGTCACCAGGACTGACGGCCAGGATCACTTGCTCTGGAGATGCATTGCCAAAAAAATATGCTTATTGGTACCAGCAGAAGCCAGGGCAGATCCCTGTGCTGGTGATATATAAAGACAGCGAAAGACCCTCAGGGATCCCTGAGCGATTCTCTGGCTCCAGCTCGGGGACAACTGCCACCTTGACCATCAGTGGGGCCCAGGCAGAGGATGAGGCTGACTATTACTGCTTCTCAGCAGACAGCAGTGGTACTTATCCCACAGTGACACAGACAGAAGTGAGACAGAAACCCCTTCCCTCTCTGTGTCACCCTCTCTCTCCAGCCCCAGCAGGACTGTGAACAAAGCCATAAGCAGGCCTGGCCCAGGTCACCTGGATCTGAGACCTTCAGGCTGCCCTTCCCTCCAGCCCTCCAGGCAGGCTCTGCAGAAGGTGGGTCAGGATAGGATTGGAGGCTGGAAGGACCACGCTGTTCTGGTGTTGTTTGGACTGAGTGTGTCTTGGCTCAAGATGTTCTTAGTGGAAGGACAGTAAGAGGGAGACAGACAGCCATGGAGTGTCCATGGTCTCTGGAGTTCCTCTTGAGTGGTGACTGAATCTAATGCAATGCCTGTACTCTGGCCCAAATACCTTGGATTATTTCTCTGAACTGTGCATGTTTAACTGAAACCCTCAAGCCCCAGCTCCATGCATCCTGATGTTCTGAACAGGAAAGCCTTTCCTAGTGAGCACTGTGGCATCATGGGGCATTCCTGACTTCCTATAGCAATTTCCCACTGAAAAATGCCATTGAGTGCAAAGAATGGCTTCCTGCAAAAGTGTGCCTCCTTCAGAATGTGATTCAGGAGCAATGACTGCTGAGGCCTTAATCCCAAAGCCGTGCTTTAATTTATGGTGAGCTTGAAATGCCTTCTAGCTGAGCCGTCAGTGGTAACACATTCCCAGTCACGCCTCCCACACTTCTTTCCTGAGAGTATATCCTGAAATCCTAATGCATGGACTCCTCGCCCTCAGAGTAGGATTCCAGGGACTCAAAACATTAAAAAAAAAAGTCTAGTGGGGAGAGTGTCAAGAAGGAGAGAGCTGCACAAAGAGAGAACTCTGAAGTCTGCAAATATTCATGCGCTCATGCACTTCACTTCTGCGTGAAGAAACTCCCGAAAGAGAAAAGAACCACCCAAGACACCTGAGGGAACACTCCAGAGAGCGAGCACGTGCACACACACACTCACACACACTACAGTCACAGAGGAAAGGCCTGAGTTACAGGGCATGAAGTGGAGTCCCCAGATTTGCCTCAGTCCTGGGGAAAATGTCACCTTAGACAAAAGGCTACTTAGGTCTCAACTATGAAAGTTAAAAGCAAACAGAAAATCCAAGCAGGTTTCAAGTAACTTGACTGAATTCAACAATAAAAGACAAAGGTACAGAATGAAATGCAGAAGAATCCTAAACCCAGCAGGAAAAATGTGCAATGTCTTCATCCTGTGAATATTTCCTGCGGGGTAAACAGAAAATCAATGCTATATCAAACAGAAAAGTAAATGAATCCAAAGTGGCAATAAAATTGCACACATGATAGACCTCGTAGGCAAGGATGCAAAAGGAATTTCTAGAACTCTGTTCTATTTCACTTGTTCATGAGGATACAGGATTGAACAAAAAGAGTAGACAAGATTAGAAAAAAAAGAGTGAAAAGAAGTGAACAAAGCCTCCAAGAAATATGGGATTATGTGAAAAGACCGAATCTATGCTTGATCGGTGTACCTGAACGTGACGGGGAGAATGAATCCAAGCTGGAAAACACTCTTGAGGATATTATCCAGGAGAACTTCTGAACCTAGAAAGGCAGGCAAACTTTGAAGTCCAGGAAATACAGAGAACATCACAAAAAATATTCCG